GTGAACACAACTATTACATTTTAGTCTCTTGTTGGGGGTTCTGAACCCAATGTACACCGGCAGAATTTGTTAAAAGCGGCAAATAACCCGTGGGCCGGGTGGAGGGGGTCGTGGGGAGGTTACGGGCATGGAGAGGACCTTCCCTTCACGACGGGTTGAGTCACTATCACGTGATGTGTTCCAGAAAGTTTTGCTGGCTGGCTCGAGGGAGCTGGGAAGAGACGGTCACGTCCTAAATACGTGCTTGCTGCTGTTTAAATATATACTACATATTAAAAACATGTTTTAATCGATTCTATTGACTAGATTAGGAGATAAATGCATTTTTAAACATATACTGAATTAAATTTTGATTTAAAGCTTTCGTGACTGCAGTAATTCATATTCTTAGTTTTTTCGGTAAAGTCACGTTGAAGAGAAACAACAAAATAATAAAATATATATAAAACAATAAAAAATTCTCAGGTTGTTTCGACCATAACTCAAACGGTCATCATCAGGTGTGTTGGTTTGCATAAATTTATTTTTAAACGGCACATTTATTTATTTATAAAAAACGTTGGCGTCACGCGCAGCGATTTGGCAGTTTGCCCAGGACTAGTCCATCTATTTTTTTTTTAAAAGAGGAGGGGGGAGACGAAATTTTTTATAATGTATGCTGTCTGAAAGCCACTGTAAGCGTGAACAATCAATTAAGAACTGAAATGGTTTATCAAATCTTTCCAATGATTGCTAAGATAGAATCCATCTTCTCGGTTGAAATTGTCTCTGTGCTTGTATATGTGGATAGCCTCATGAACGAATCTCTCATGGAAGCCAGATGGCTTACAAAGAACCTCCGTCTTGGAAAAGTCAACGGCATGTGAGCCTACTGAATTAGAACAATGATCTGCTACGGCCGAGGTGTTGGTCCTACCGTGTTTAAGGTCTGCTTTATGTTCACGAATGCGGTCCGAGACATGGCGTTTGGTTTCTCCAATGTAACTACTATCACTCAAACCATGAAGAAGAACCCTCTTGAGGAGCCTTTCAAAACCATCACTTTACCCTACATTGCTGGGATCACAAAAAAGATCTCCAAAATCTTGAATAAACACAAGATCCAGGTCCGTTTCAACACATTACATAAAATCCGTGATCTGGTTCCGTCTGTAAAAGATGTGATTCCGGACATACAATACCCTGGTGTCTACAAACTAAGTTGCCTCTGTGGTAGTAGTTACATTGGAGAAACCAAACGCCATGTCTCGGACCGCATTCGTGAACATAAAGCAGACCTTAAACACGGTAGGACCAACACCTCGGCCGTAGCAGGTCATTGTTCTAATTCAGTAGGCTCACATGCCATTGACTTTTCCAAGACGGAGGTTCTTTGTAAGCCATCTGGCTTCCATGAGAGATTCGTTCATGAGGCTATCCACATATACAAGCACAGAGACAATTTCAACCGAGAAGATGGATTCTATCTTAGCAATCATTGGAAAGATTTGATAAACCATTTCAGTTCTTAATTGATTGTTCACGCTTACAGTGGCTTTCAGACAGCATACATTATAAAAAATTTCGTCTCCCCCCTCCTCTTTTCAAAAAAATAGATGGACTAGTCCTGGGCAAACTGCCAAATCGCTGCGCGTGACGCCAACGTTTTTTATAAATAAATAAAGGTGCCGTTTAAAAATACATTTATGCAAACCAACACACCTGATGATGACCGTTTGAGTTATGGTCGAAACGTCGTGAGAATTTTTTATTGTTTTATATATATTTTGTTATTTTGTTGTTTCTCTTCAACGTGACTTTACCGTAAAAACTAAGAATATATATACTGAATTATTAACTCAAGGTTGTTTTCATTCGTTTTTATTTAAATAAAAAATATATATAGTGTGCAGTATCTGAAAATAATTTGTATGTGAGGCGCAGCCTCATTGCCCCATTCACTGCACACCACTGTGTACGTAAGCAGCGTCGTGCATCAGTCCATCCGTCTGCCACCGAATTTACTGGACTCCTTGATATATCTTTATCAGATAAAGATATATCAAGGAGTCCAGCCGAGGATCATTGTAACAAAATCTATATATGTGGGCGCAGCCCTGCAACTGACTGCACACGGCCACTGCTGGCAGGAGCAGCCTCAAGCACGCGCCATCTGCCTGGGATGCCTTGGTGGTGAGATGTTGACTACCTCGCCTGGTATGCAGGAGGTCCTGGGTTCGATCCTGACTCTGACGCCTGCTGTATATTTGGAGTGTATATGTTCTCCCCGTGGTCGTGTGGATTTTTCTCCGGGTTCTCCGGTTTTTCCCTTCGAATTTAGAATCAACTTCACGCGTTTAGAGTATTTGGCTGCTATACATTTCCACACGATAAGTCTCTTCGCTGAGCATTTGTGGCCAGGTCGCTTCTATATAGCTCAGTGGGCCTTACTGGCAACATAACAATCTTAAATAGTAGTAATAGTTGATCAACCGCAGCGTCCCCAATGTGCATTGCTGGGTGGTCAGAGGATTTAATAAACTTCCACCATTGCTGAAATTGCCGCGCCGGGGACATCAACCAGAACCGGTGGCTTCCGCATTGCAAATCCGGCGGTGCTGACCATTCGACCACGGCACCTCGTTAAAACTCCCTTTGGAATCTGAGACCCCGTGGGATCGAATTTGACCCGTGCACATACGATATTTTAGTCATGCAAAAGGTGAGCCCTGGTGCAGGTGGTGGCTTTTTACTCTCAGCCACGGTGGGCGAGTGCAGAATTATCCAAAATCCCAATGATTTTTTTTAGAAGGGCTAGAAAGCTAAATTGGAAAACTCGTTTCTTTCGAACTGTTTTTTGTGTGTTTAATTTGTTGTCTTTCCCCCGGCACCTTCGATTAGCACGGTCGGCAACGTACGGTACAAACGAAGTTCGAAGCTGATGTTTGGCAGAAAAAAGTCGAGCCTGTTCTAAGAAATACTGCACTGGTGCCCTCTAAAATGGGGAGGGGAGGGGGGGGGAAAGAAGGCTCAAGCAAGAACTCAAGTGATCGTAACCCTTTACACGTACCTGATGATTGGTAAACACGTGACGTGACGTGGAGGGCGCCCATCAATTTGAATCCTTGCTCTGTATGTCACGTGGGACACACGTACAAACGTGCGCACACGATTCTCGATCTTAATTTCTTCATTGCATCATCACCAATACCAACACACCCGCCGTTCGCCACTAAGTGACGGTGACGTCACCACGGCGCCTGTGCCAAGCTAGGTGCACTTTGAGGCCACGTGAAGTGTCGAAGGCTCACTGACAGGATGTCTTGGGACAGACGCTGGTGTCATGGGTTGGCTGACTGAGATGACTGAGTAACAACGTTATCACCACCGTCTCCGGATACATAAAATCACCACGATCTCAGAAAAAAAGCACATCATCCTCACCACCGTATCCATGATCATCTCGATCAACGTCGTCATTGCGTTCACTGCAGTGCCCAGCGTGGCATTTGCTTCTCGCAAACGGTTACACACAACGTGCTGTCTGACATTAACAACACACACGGAGTCAAACCCTTAATGCGTTATTTATTTTATAAGCTTCTCAGTTACAATTTCTACGTGGTTTTACGCGTCCTCACCTGGCGATGCCGCACGGCACCCTCATCGCTCCCTCCCCTTCCTCCTGCCAGACCCTGACAATGTGGCACGGTCAATAACTGACCGCCGAGGTCTGTTCTGACAGTCTCCATCATCATCACCGCCAACAACCATCTGGCTTCAGGGCTTCCGCTTGTTGCACAGTTGGCGCGCCCTGCACACCAATCATCCCACCCATCACCACCGCCTCCACCCTGCACACCACTCGTCCCACCCATCACCACCACCTCCTCCACCGTGCACACCACTCGTCCCACCCATCACCACCTCCTCCACCCTGCACACCACGTGTCCCACCCATCACCCCCACCTCCACCCTGCAAACCACTCGTCCCACCCATCACCTCCTCCACCCTGCACACCACTCGTCCCACCCACCTCCTCCTCCTGCACCCTGCACACCACTCGTCCCACCCATCACCACCCCCTGCACCCTGCACACCACTCCACCCACCCATCACTACATCCCTCCTCCTCTTCCCGATTACACTAAAAACACTTTCCTGCCACGTTCAATTCCCAGCCTCCCAAGTTGCTCACCCTATCCCTGCCATGATATTCCTGGCATGCACCGATATTCAAAAGCCTAACACGGGAACTTCCTTGAACACCTATCATCCCCAAGTTTACAAGTCCTTTATTGAGGTCGGTGGGATCACATTGAGATTCACCATCGCTTTTACAAATTAAATACGCATACCATATCTCTGTCGGGGATAAAAGGTGGTTAAACTTTTACAAACACCCCCCCCCCACCCCCAGGAGGCACGATGGGTCCACACCTGCGAAGCAGCTCATTGGCGGCAAGGGATTGGTGGATCACGGAGAGAATTATGGAACTCGCCGAGCTGCGAGGTGGCAGCACAGAAAGTGGGTTTGTGAACCCGTCTGTGTGGACCTGCGAGTGTGTCACCGTCTCGTACTCGTGTTAAGTTCATCTCGGAATTCTCCAGTTTCCCCCACCGATGCGATTACAAACTCATTCTATTCAAAAGGAAATCGGAGAACAAGAAATCAGAAAGCTGGACCCCCCTGTCCTCTAAAATAGTTTTCAGCCTCATTGATGCCCGGACGCCTTTGTCTCCCCAGTTGAGATGTTTACACACCGCACCAGGTACTCTTTTGAGCTCGAGTCGACCTAGGGGAGGCCCAGAACCGGTTCAGATAATCGTCACCGGTGTTGGTCGCGAGCGGGAATCGAACCCGGGTCGCCGGGTTCGTAGACCGGCATGCAAACCGCTACACCACCGCTTCCCACAAACACACACTCACTCACACTCACTCACTCACACTCACTGACAGTCACACTGACAGTCACACTGACAGTCACACTGACAGTCACACGCACTCACACACTCTCACAAACATACACACACTCTCACAAACATACACACACTCACACGCACTCACACGCACTCACACGCAGTCACATGCACTCACACACTCACACGCACTCACACACACTCACACACACACTTATCGTACGACGTACCCTCTGAAATTTCGTTGAGAGGGGCACATCATCGTTGAGAGGGGCACATCATCGTTGAGAGGGGCACATCATCGTTGAGAGGGGCACATCATCGTTGAGAGGGGCACATCATCGTTGAGAGGGGCACATCATCGTTGAGAGGGGCACATCATCGTTGAGAGGGGCACATCATCGTTGAGAGGGGCACATCATCGCTGAGAGGGGCACATCATCGTTGAGAGGGGCACATCATCGCTGAGAGGGGCACATCATCGTTGAGAGGAGCACATCATCGTTGAGTGGGGCACATCATGGTTGAGAGGGGCACATCATCGTTGAGAGGGGCACATCATCGTTGAGAGGGGCACATCATGGTTGAGAGGGGCACATCATCGTTGAGAGGGGCACATCATCGTTGAGAGGGGCACATCATCGTTGAGAGGGGCACATCATCGTTGAGAGGGGCACATCATCGTTGAGTGGGGCACATCATCTTTGAGAGGGGCACATCATCGTTGAGAGGGGCACATCATCGTGGAGAGGGGCACATCATCGCTGAGAGGGGCACATCATCGTTGAGAGGGGCACATCATCGCTGAGAGGGGCACATCATCGCTGAGAGGGGCACATTATCGTTGAGTGGGACACATCATCCCAATGTGGAGAACCTGGACAGAAAGAGCGTCTCGAATCCACTCCCCGGCAAAACGAGAGCTTCCTAACATCACCTCCTACGTGTTGCACAATCGCCCGATGGCTTTTTAACTGGCCAGTAACTCTGCAGGTTGGCTTTAGCGTTTACAACAACAAAATGAAGACCATATGCTTTGGCTTAAATAATTCAACAATCTCTTATACGTATAGATACACACAGGACTCGAGTACAGTCAACCGTCGATTATTTCCCCCACGCCGGAGCTCCGGGTTAGCCGTGCGTCCCAAAAAAATAAATAAAATCTCTTCCCCCGACACGGCGGCTCAGCTTGGCAGCCCAGGGCAGCTTCGCTCTTCGCTCGCCGAGGGCCAGCGAGCGAAGCGACTGCGGAGGGAGCGGTGGAGGGAGGCGACGGCGTCGTCCGGACTACCGAGAGTTGACTGAACGCGTCCAGCACAGCCCGGTCGGTGACTTCCAGGCAAGGCCCATGTCGCGGTTTGCCTCGACGACGGACGAATCCCCTCGCACCCCCCCGCCGCCACCCCTCAAGATCTCACTCCGAAGCAGCCGCTGCCCGTGTCCACGGAGACCTTGAGGTCCTCTGCTCCTCCTCCTCCTCCGACGACTCCTCCCGCGGTTGCCGTGGCGACCTGCCAGCCCTCTCCTGCGGCGGCGCCGTCCCCTCCGCCGCCGCCGCCGCCGCGGTGCATCCCGTGCAGCGTGCGCGTGAACGCCTCCATCATGGTGTGCGCCAGCCGCTTGGCCTGCTCGGCGCTCTGGCACTCGACGGCGTGGCACGACAGCGCCGGGCCGCCGCCCCCAGCGCCGCCGCCCCCAGCTCCCCCGCGGTGCTCCCGGTAGAGCCAAGCGAAGACCAGGCCGCTGGCGCGGTGCTCGGCCGAGCAGAAGGCGACGCGCGCCACGTCGAACGAGTCCGTGCGCCAGCCGCCACCCTCCCGCGGCTGCCTCCGCCGACGGCGCCGCCGCTGCTCCTCCGCTCCCCCTCCCCCTCCTCCACGGCCACCGCCGCGCCGCTTCTTCCGCCACAGCAGACGCTGCGCACGCACGGCCGCCGTCGCCACGCCGCCCTCCTCCTCCTCCTCCCCCTCGTCGTTCTCATCATCCTCTTCGTTCTCGTCATCGTCCTCCGGGTCCTCCTCGCCGGCCGGCTTCGCCCGCTCGCAAGACGCGGCGGAGGAGGCGGCGGAGGAGGCCTGAGAGGGCGGGAGCTGCACGTGCATGCGGATGTGGAAGGGCCGGATCTCGAGGCGTGCGGGGCGAGCGAGGTTGGGCTCCTCGGCCTTCAGGGCCCACATCTCCTGGACGGCGCGGTCGGTGCAGCTGGGGCCCAGGGCCGGCGCGGGGAACAGGCGCACCTTGCCCAGGTACGTGACCTGGCGCCGGCGGGGCGGGGAGCGGAGCGGGGCGGTCAACGGTGACAACGACAAACAACAACCGACGTGCGCGCAACGAAGCGTCGACGGCGACGCGGCCGCGGTGCTTGCGCCGGGCTAGGTTCACCGCTTTTGAGTGGTCGAGGTCACAGGGCCAGCCGCGGCAGGCGCGCATTTTGCCAAGTGCCCGGTGTGTGTGTGGCTTGGGACTCACATTCCAACGTGTCGACCATCTGTACCACGGCTCACACCACGCTCGGTGACAAACAAAACACAAATAAACCTCTGGGCGAGCTGCGTACGGCAGAGGCCGCGGTGGGCCCTGGCACCGGTGACCCCCCCCCCCACGCACTCAGTGGGGGGGCCACCGGGTACCCCCTGGCTCTCTCAGTAGCAACCTTGTGCTCCGTCGTGTTTGGAGATTATTTAATCGTATTAATATTCAATCTTGATTTGAAGCTTTCGTGACTGCAGGAATCCATACTCTTTAGTTCTTTCGGCGAAGTCACGCAGGTAGAAAAATAAAACAAAAAATAATTTCTCACGAAGTTTTGATCGCAACGCAAGCGGTCGTCCTCGGGCGGAAAAAAATAATCCAGCAGGGGAACCGCTGAACCAGCTGGTCCAGCTGGTTCAGCAGTTCTACTGCAGTTCTACTGCTCAGCCACTGTTGAACCAGCTGGTCCAGGAGTGGCTGAACCAGCTGGTTTAGCCACTCCTGGACCAGCTGGTTCAGCCACCGCTGGACCAGCTGGTTCAGCGGTTCCCCTGCTGGATTATTTTTTTCCGCCCGAGGACGACCGCTTGTGTAAACGTCGTGATATATTATTTTTGGTTTTATTTTTCTACCTACGTGACTTTACCAAAAGAACCAAAGAGTACGTTCTAATATTTACACATTATCTACGCTTCGAGTTTCCTGGCTGGCTGCTGCCTGGGCACCTCTCCACCTCAACAATAATTCCGTTGTTGGTGGCCGCTGGGGGGTCCGTTTCCACAGAAGCTAGCTGGGTAGCTGGCCACACAGGATTTTCCGTGCAACAAATAAACTCTGCATCGAGTTGAAACGGCGGAAGAAGAAGTTCGGACGATGTTTCGTAATAATAAATATATTGCGACGAACGGATAAGTTAGATCGACCACGGTTCATTTAATGTCGCTCTAACTTTCACATTTGAGAGCTCCCATTAATGCCATTATTTCAACATGAAATTCCTTAAATCCCGGAAGAATATTTAAAAAAACCCCGCAATACACATTCATCCAGCCATTTTATCATTCCGTAAAAAAGAGCAGAGATTGCTCGTCGTGTCCAAGTACAGCGAGGAGAATGATCGTGACACAGCAGTCTTATCTCCCAATGCAGGGCAACACAAACGGCTTCTCTCTGCTAGTTTTATTTAAATGTTTATCAATTGCCACTTAGTTTCGGCTCCTCAGACACAACGGTTGGTGCTGCCGTTTCTTTCCAGGCCGAAGCGAGTGGCCCGTGGCGGAGTCGGCATCTGAAATGGCCTCCCCCTTCGTCAACCCGCACTGACCAGCGTGGTGAAGGGCAATCAAATAATCGCCACGGCCTGTCTCGGTGTGGGCGGAGGAGGCCCTCGTCCAGCAGTGGATTGACAAATGGCTGCGAGTGATGAGTATTACTTTCATCACCGAGGAATGCGTTACAGTACAGCACTACTCAACGCTGACCACTGCTACTCGCAGAGGGCGCCCAGGGGATATGTCTAGATATTTGAGCTCTAACTGCGCACCGCGAACGACAAGCTGGCCAGCCAGTCCGTTGAGGGAGCCTCCGTTCCACAAAGCACGCATGTACGTACGTTGCATGTCTTTCGCCCTGTACATAGCCGATCGCAATAATAATTATCAGGAGGTGCGGGTGGGGAAGGACAAACTCAACACAAAAAGTAGTTACATTATGAGACCTCCTTTGCCAGAAACAATATATAGGAATAGGTTTTACCCTTTTAACTGGCACAAAAACTGACACCTTTATTCAAAGGGTAAAACCTATTCCTATATCTTGTTTCTGGCAAAGGAGGTCTCATAATGTAAATGCTCACCCCGAGCCCTCAATACTCTGATAGTGTGCTGTTTTTGAGTTGTACGCCTTTTGGCGTCTTCTGGTCCAACACCAATGGAGACTAGGCTCTAAGAAAAGCTGTCTCGGGTGTGGACCAATCAAATTCAAGGACAGTGCATATTATCAGAGTTGTCTTTTTTGTTTGCATTCTGACTGCTTGTGTTGTGGTTTTTGCAAACATGATGCCTTGAATAAAGGTGTCAGTTTTTGTGCCAGTTAAAAGGGTAAAACCTATTCCTACAAAAAGTAGTTGTAAGGAAAATAATTTTTGAATCTAGATTTGGAAGTGCACAGCTCCAAGTGGCTTCCTAATATCGGACGGAAGAGCGTTCCAGACGGCCGCAGAGGCGCATCTGAAAGCGCCGCGCGATGCGGTGACCACCGTCTTTGTTCGATGGCCCAGCAGCCAAAAGCAGCCGCTGCTGCCGTGAGGATGACAACCGGAGTTCGTGCGGTGATGGTTTATGCTCCTAGACGAGATCAGCGAGGTACTGTGGTTCATTTGTGGCGAGCAGTTTGTCAGTAATGAGTGCGACCTTAAAAACTCGCGACGGTACCCTGGGACAAGTTGCGTTTTTGAAGAAAGAAAAAGAAAGGAGGAAAAGGAAAACAGAAAAAAAAGTGTCGTCTAGTATTTTGTTGCCCCAGAATTCATACCAACAGCGAGTTATCGCCACGCCGCACTATGAACCCGGGGACCCGAGATCGATTCCCGGCCACGGCCAACAACATCAGTGGGGAATGAGATCCGAAGGGGGCCAACATCTCTGCTTGCTACCTCCATCGCCAATGCGTGCTGGCGAAGTAAGGTCAAGCAACTCCCTACGACGGGGGGGGGGTGGGGCTGTACATGATTTTGTACCGCGTGGCCCAAAAGTCAGGAGGCACGGGATTTATTATATTTATTATAACAAATCACATTATGGTAATTTAATTCATTTTAAGAAACGTTCAAACCGACCTCCATTAAACATTAATGCACGGTGCATGAATTATCTTTTGAAATTAATTCAAGACTTTTTAACATTTATTTGAAGATTACAGTGGGTAATCATTTAAAATTCATAAATTTAGTTTTCTCTCAAATTCGTGCGGCGTTCTTGGTCGACAGTTTTGTCAACGACGGAGTTGAGGTGACCCCACAGGAAGGAGAAGAGAAATAGAAAATAATAATGATAAGAGTTTTTTTTTTTTCAAATCTTCACGTAAATAAACAACAAACAAACCCCATGCCTCCTGACTTTTGGACCACCCTGTAGGGAGAAGCTGCATGGCGCGCGAGTTTGCGAGCTGCGTGTGCTTTCCTTAAAACGCGGTGTCCTTGGTTGGACGAGCGGGCAGACAAACACAACATCTCCCTCGGCACAGCAATACATATTCCCATCGGCTTCCAAAAAAAAAAAAGACTTGTGCACTTTCTTGCACGGGCTGCGCTAAACCGACATTTACATACCAGACAAAGATCCCCCATATAGCCTTTAACAGACCGTTGGGGCAAGTGCTGTTAGACACCACGGTGACGAGATGTTAACTTACCTCGCCTGGTACACAGGAGGTCGCGAGTTCGATCCTGACCCTAACGCCTACTGTATATTTGGAGTTTGCATGTCTCCCCGTGGTCGTGTGGATTTCTCTCCGGGTCCTCCGGTTTTTCCCTCCGCATTTAGAATCCGCATTACGCGTTCAGCGTTATTTGGCTGCTATAAAGTTCCACGCGATGACTCAGCCACTTCGTTGAGCTACATAGCTCATAAAGCCTTACCTGGTAAAATAATAAATAGTACATTTTAGAGTCGCGCCTTCAAAGGCCGGCACAGCACACGAGGGGGTGGGTGGCCAGCACCACGCCCGACCACCTTTGTCTCCCCAGTGGTGATGTTTACACACCGCACCAGGTACTCATTTGAGGCCGAGTCGACCTAGGGGAGGCCCAGGACCGGCCCAAATAATCGTCACCGGTGTTGACCACGACTACACTACCGCTCCCCATGTGTGCACATGCATTATAGCTGCCGTGTCATTTCACTGCATGCATTTCTTTGGCCACCACGAGTGATGATTTACATTCATTTGCCCTCGGATAACCCAGCATCAGAGGAGAGGAAATCTGGAATTATTACGCAATGCGATTTGGTGACTTGGCCGATATTCTTGAAGAACCTGCTTTGACTAGGGATGGCAGGTTTGAATCAATGGGCGTAAACGCCCACCCACATTTGTCTCCCCTCTACCGACGTTTACACAACGCACCAGGTACTCATTTAAGGCCGAGTCGACCTAGGGGATGCCCAGGAGCGGTTCAGATAATCGTCACCGATGTTGGCCGTGAGCGGGAATCGAACTCGGGTAGACGGGTTCGTCGCACAGTGCGCTAACCACAGCACCACCGCTCCCCACCGAGACACGCAAAGACAAAAATCACCCATATACCCTTTACAGACTGTTGGGGCAAGTGCTGTTAGCGAGTAGCACCTATGAAGGCCGGCACACGAGGGGGTGGGTGGCCAACACCACGCCAAGCCGCCTTTGTCTCCCCAGTGGCGATGTTTACACATCACACCACGTACTCATTTGAGGCCGAGGTGACCTAGGGGAGGCACAGGACCGGTTCAGATAATCGTCACCGATGGTGACCGTGAGCGGGAATCGAACTCGGCTCACCAGGTTCGTCGTGCAAAGTGCTAACCGCTACGCCACCGCTCCCCATACTGAGACACACAGACACTAAAACACACAGCACCACACAGACACTAAAACACACACACATCGCTCTGGTTTTTATCTAGGTCAACACATGTTAACAAAGGCACACGCACACACACACATACACGCGTGCATGCACATACACGCACATTAACACACACAACTCTTTCCACACACTTCATCATCTACAAAATTGCAGAATTTT